GCACCTTATATATAGCGTCATACTCGCTTTATTACCGGCTTTGTTGATTAGGGCATATGTTAGTGATGTTACCTCTGTTGAATTTGTTAGGGACACGTAGAGGGAGTCTGGAAAACTAACCATACCACGGGCGGGATTTGAACCCGAGGTCAGAGTCTCAAAACTCCAGACCGTCGCGTTAGAGTTTTGAGACTCTCTGACCGCAGGTTCAAATCCCGCCCGTGGTATGGTTTGTTTGCAATCGTGTCATTACGATTTCGTGAGTCTGGAAAACTAAGTTGAAATAACCAGCATTACTTAATAAGCCCATTAAATTTTTAAATGTTAAAGTCTCTCCTAAAAGTTCCACATCAATACAAACATCCTAATAATTATGATAAACATTACAAAAATGAAAAGGTCCTAGTTATTGGCAAATATCTACAATGTGTTCCATGGTAAGCTGCAAGTCACAAGTTTCACAAAGGAGAGCAGCAGGAGCACCTGCGAACAGATGGATATGATTCTCAATCATCAGTAATTATAATAATAAAAACAATTTTAAAAGTGTTGATGCCTGTTGAATTAGGAGGGCTAAGTACACACGTTATGTCGCACTCAGTATAAGCTGCTTCTAGTGTGTAGGGCTCACCAGGCCCAACAATTCAAATGACTTGTTTGTATAAAGAGCTCATGAAAGTCACTGGAAGGCATCAGTCTGCTACAGACTTAACTCGTTACAGAAATTGCTTATGCAAATGTTTGTTGTGGCCTTCATCATCACACTACCAGCACGTGCCTTGCATCACACGTAATCTTCATTATCGTGGACACCACATAACCCAGGCACCAATAGAACTCGACATCTCTGTGACGGGCATGATAAGTTCTTGCCAGCACATGGAAGACCTTCCACTGCTCAATGATGTATCTCAGTCTGTTCGTAGCTGTCCTTTATGATCGTACAATCGTGCTTGTAGTGTTATCATACTGCCGTGCTGTATGTGCCCTGTAATTCATTTAGCTGTTTTCTGTATTCAGGCACAATGAACTCTTCCTGCATAACTGTTTCTATATCTAGGGGAAAGTGCTAACTTGGCAGGTTATACAGCACCTAAGAAATGGTAGGCCTTTAGGTTGAATCCCAAGAATGGCAAACCAAATTAATTCCTTGGACCAAAAGCCCCTCACCGGCATCAGAAACTTTTAAAATCTTCAACTGTACACGTGTCCTCTCTCACACAAAATACGTCCAGTGGTGCATCCCGGGTAATGGTCTAGCTTCTCATTAACGAAAATATGAACATACACTTGACATGTGCAACACCTGTATAACTTTCAGAGACATTTTTCTTGGTGGAAGAAGTCATGTGTAATAATTGTCGTCTTATATTCCTTTGCTTCACATTTTTGGACTAACATTTGAAGTTCATAGTTCTTAGGAAATATCCTCAGGCATCTTACATTATATGATTTAATGCTCTCTAGTGTGGTTTTATAACTATTAGTTTGCAGTGCAGTATGACCCTGGTGGGTTTAGCGGTTAGTGTGGATAATAATAAACCTACTACTACTATTACTACTAATAATAATAAACCTACTCACCGTACAAAACATCCATACTTATTATTGTACCTACTACATACATAGAACACTTAACTCGGGTATAAACCCTCCCCTCAAACGTCTCCTTACCAACCTCAACAGAACACATGACCATAACACAAGGCACAGATCACTCTTTGATGTTCCTCGTGTCCATCTCACGCTATGCAAAAACTTAATGCACATAAAAGGCCCAAAAATCTGGAATTCATTACCTGTGAATATAAAAGAAACACTGTTTATAAATTCAAGTCTCTTCTTAAAAATCACTTACTCACCCACGATTAAATAAATACTGAATAATTGTATCTCATAAACGTTTAACCTGTGACCCAATCAAACTTTGCTTTTTTTAATTACATTACCTAACAGAATACTACATTCTACTGAATGCTCAGCAACACAGTAAATGACCATATGACCTGACTTTGATATACTCATTTGTGCTTAATTGCTATTTGTTTACTATAATTTTTACCACTGAATATATCATTGCTTAATCTTAAGTTAATTTTAAGCCTGCCCATAATGCTCTGCATACAAGAGGCTTTTGGCATGTTACACTTAATAACCACTGTATTTCTTTGTACATCTATGTATCATGTCCAAATTAATAATAAATAAATTATTAATCTGAAATTTCCGCGGAAACTATGTAAATAATTTCCGTTCTTTTTAAGACAAAAGGGGCATTAGAACACCGGACTGAAAAAGCGCCTGGTCAGAGAGACATAACTTCAATAAATGTCCTCATTATTATTTTTCTCTCATGCTTGTTACTGTTTATACAACAGTTACATTGTTTTGGTTCATTAAATGGTTACATTATAAACTTTAGTCGACTGAATTAACAAGAAGTTTTTAATCCAGAGAGGTTAAGAACCCAAAGGGACTGTCATTCAAGTGTTGAACTATCAAAGGATAATCCTACACAATATATTATGTACGAGTGTGTATATTTAAAATAAGTTTGAGGAACAGATGGTACGGGTTCACACTTACATTATAGCATATTACTGACGGTATAAAATCCTGAAAAGTTGATAAATATGAATGTAATACGAAAATATTCAACCTTACAGTCGTTACCTGGAGTTTACCTGGAGAGAGTTTCGGGGGTCAACGCCCCCGCGGCCCGGTCTGTGACCACTCAGCGCCTGATCAACCAGGCTGTTGCTGCTGGCTGCACGCAAACCAACGTACGAGCCACATTATTATAATAAAAAAAGAAGCGCTAAGCCACAAGGGCTATACAGCGTACGAGCCACAGCCCGGCTGATCAGGAACTGACTTTAGGTGCTTGTCCAGTGCCAGCTTGAAGACTGCCAGGGGTCTGTTGGTAATCCCCCTTATGTGTGCTGGGAGGCAGTTGAACAGTCTCGGGCCCCTGACACTTATTGTATGGTCTCTTAACGTGCTAGTGACACCCCTGCTTTTCATTGGGGGGATGGTGCATCGTCTGCCAAGTCTTTTGCTTTCGTAGTGAGTGATTTTCGTGTGCGTTACACAACACTTCCAGTATGCAAATTTAACATGGGATAAAATTATCAAAAAGAAGCACTAAACTGGGATAAAATAATAGCCAAATTTTGTGACTTATTTCAAATCGATTCTATATTCCATAAAAAAAACTTTCACTATTATGAGAAACGGCTGATCCCACGACTCACACGTTAATATTCTCCCTGATATTTGTAAGTGGTGTAAGTGTAGCAGTTACAACACTAGGGTGTCAAAGTGCTTGCACCCGCCACGGGAGAGCAACTAATTTTAATCATGCGGAGCGTTAAATCCGTCGGGGTCGAAACTTGCCTGGGGGAAATAGAAGGTAATCAGGCCGGAACCAAGAGTATTATATACATATTTTTTTTTTTTTACAAAACAGACTAGTTTGTGAGACATTTGTGCTACATTTAGATATCTTTACCTGTGAGAACGATTCGCCAGTGACTTCATCAGTCCAATACGGAGAACTGTGGAAGATTAAGAACTTGAGGTAATCAATCCCGCTGTCCGGAGTCTTGTGTTCAGTCTATCAGTCTTGATAAAAGACTGATGGACTGAACACATCTCCAGGCTGAGGGACTGTTTACTTCAGAATATCTTCCAACATTCTTCTCTCTAATGATGAAGCCACTGGCTAGCGAAACGTTTTCACAATAAAGATACCCAAATGTTGTACAAGTGGATCCAAGAGTGGAGGTCAGATCCACTTCCCTGGACTACCGCCAACAGGATGGGTATGGGGTACACAATTAAACTGGGTTCTCTGCACATATGCTGCTATGTATGATAATTCTATGTGACTGTATTTGTGTATACCTGAATAAACTTACTAAACGCCCACCGGCAAACTGAGAAAAGGGCACAAATATGGTGATCGGTAGACTACAGAAGAATACATGCGAATACTGTATTATTCTATTGTAGAATACTGTAGTATTATATTCGACTGAAGTCGGTTGTAGAGGCGAAAACGTTTCGGCAGTATATTAATCTCATTCATCAACTTGCCGGTATTGTACACCATTAATATAGAGAGCTACTGGTAGGGTTGTCGAAGGTTTTTAGATCGAGGGTTAGTAACCAGGATAACCCAAGAAAGCCAAGTATTGCTTATTTCCACCAGGGCCTTTGATCCTTAACCCCAGGATGCGGTCCACAATACTCGGTTAGCACCTAGTAACCTACTATGTGAGCATGGGGCAGCAGATGCAAGGAGACATGCCCAGCATTTTCACTCGCCCCGGGTTCGAACCCAGGTCCTTCAGTTAAGCCGAAGGCACTACCACTTGAAGCCACCCAACACTATGTTCCCGTCCCACAGAGAACCACGCTACTCCACATAGTGGAACACAGTTATGCAGGGAAGAGAGTTTCGTAGGAGAGTGGAGGGAAGGTTGAATGTTGGAGACGCCCACTAACCCACGTCACCAGTGTGAGGTCACAAACTCGACCACCACCAGAAATAACCTCGGCTGCTGCTGCTGCTGCTGCCTCAAATTGCAAAGATGTACCTACTAACTCTTTCAGAACTGCCAGGTTTTCTATCGCTTTAAATAATTTTATTATCATACTAAAAATTCATATATAGGATATAAAGAGTACTAGCTAAATAAAGCTGCAACAAATTGATTAATACACACTTTTTAGTAATTAAAACGTCAATACTTTCACTATAACATTTATTATAAATACCATAATTAAACAGTATTTTTGTCAACTGACATTGTATAGCCTGAAGCGGCAGTACACCTTTCGTACATTTAAAGCCGCAGCGGACGTGACGTATTAATAACGTCAGAGCAATTCTGAGTTGTGATTGGGTTAGAGTAAGCGTGGACATGACGTATATGATGACGTCAGATAGATCCAGGCCTGTGATTGGGTACGAGAGCGAGTATTAGTATAGTCCTCGTACGGTGGCGGTGCTCCGGCCTCTTTCTCCCCACGGACCTCGCTGGTAGAAGGACGCGCTACGCAACACCGCAAAGATGGGGAAGGCTTTAGATCCAGTTAGTTTCCTTAAGGATTTCCTTGCCGGTGGCATCGCCGCCGCCATTTCCAAGACAGCTGTAGCGCCGATTGAGCGTGTAAAGCTGCTGCTTCAGGTGCAGGCCGCCTCTAAACAGATTAGTGCCGAAACTGCTTACAAGGGTGAGTCGCCATTTTGTCCTATTAATACAACTGTATAAATTTAAAATGTGTGTCCTAATGGGTTTATTAAGTTTTGGGAGATTTTATTATTTGTATTAGGATTTATAAGTAGAGTTTTGATAGAAAGTTTGAATAAGCAAATACAATGTAGGCAGCCGGCGGCGGATCAGCTGACTACCATCTTGTGTGGCTGTATTATGTGCTGGCTGGCGAGGGTGTGCCACTGACTTCTACCATATTTATGCTACAACCACTAGTGGGGTCGGAAAAGTGAACTTTTAACTAGGACAGGGAGGTGTGGTCTCGACTGCCGGTCTTAGTTGCCGGCTGGTCTTGTTGCCGGCTGGTCTGACGCAATCCTGAGGGGGGAGGGGGAGGGGGTTCCGGCTGTATCTTGTCTGCTTATCAGTTTAATCAGATTCTATTTCCTACAGGTTTTTACCTTGTTAATAACATGGAATGATGAACATAAGAACATAACAAAGGAACACTGCAGCAGGCCTTCTGGCCCATGCGAGGCAGGTCCAAGTCTCCTACCGGCTTAAGCCAATGCACCCAACCTAGTCAGGTCAGGTCACATTGACGTTAAGGGAGGAACACGGCAACCGACCTGGTAGCACAAGCTAATCAGGTCCAACTCACACCCACCCACACCCACTCATGTATTTATCCAACCTATTTTTAAAACTACACAACGTTCTGGCCTCTATAACGGTACTTGGGAGTTTGTTCCACTCATCCACAACTCTATTACCAAACCAGTACTTTCCTATATCCTTCCTGAATCTGAATTTTTCCAACTTAAAACCATTGCTACTAGTCCTGTCTAGGCTAGATATTTTCAGCACGCTATTTACATCCCTTTTATATATTCCTGTCTTCCATTTATTCACCTCAATCATATCCCCCCTAATTCTACGTCTTTCTAGAGAGTGCAGATTCAGGGCCCTCAGTCTATCCTCATAGGGAAGGTTTCTGATACATGGGATCATCTTTGTCATCCTTTGTACATTTTCCAGAGCATTTATATCCATTCTGTAATACGGTGTCCAAAACTGTGCAGCATAATCTAAATGAGGCCTAACCAAGGATGTATAGAGTTGAACAACCTGAGGACTCCCATTATTTATGCTTCTTGATATGAAGCCAAAGATTCTATTAGCTTTATTGCAAACACTTATGCACTGTTGTCTTGGTTTCAAATTACTGCTAACCAGAACTCCTAAATCTTTTTCGCAATCCGTAATATTACGATCTACATTTAGTTTATATGTGGCATGGTTATTGTCCTGTCCAACATTTAGAACTTTGCATTTGTCTATTAAACTGCATCTGCCCTCTCTCCGACCACTGCATCAGTCTACTCAAATCTTCCTGGAGTGCTCTAATGTCCTTCAGAATGAATTCATCCGTCTGATACGGATGATTTCCGAGCGGATGTATGAAACCCAGGGTAAAAATTCGCCGAAAAGTGGTCGAAATCCAATTTGTACAACATCCGGACCGGACGAAAAGTGGAGGTCCACTGTACATTTCTCGTTGAGAAACTCAGGACTACAAATTCGGTATGCTCTTAAGAAAAATCCGGTGATGCCTCTTTTGGTCTTAGTATCTTGGCTGGAATAGAAGTGGGCGAAATAATTTTTGTTGGTAGGTGTACGGTAAACTTAAAAAATTAGATTATCTACTTTATGGATGAGGACGTCTAGAAAATGTAGCTTGTCATTGGAGAGTGAAACGTTGCTACACTGAAATATCACATTAGTTGCACTTGTCCTTTTGCCTAACAGATTGTAGGTAATTTTACCAACATTAATACAGCATGTACCTAGACCCACACAGGTCTTGGTTACCTCTCCTGACAGAGCATTGCCTCTGGTCAGTCCTCTGCTGTTAGTGTCAGCTTGTATTCTCATACACAAAGATCTGAGAGGCCAGGACAGATGTTTTCTTGGGGTTGCCACTGTTGGCACACCCCCATCACGTAGCCAGATAACCCAGTGTCTGGCAGATTAGCACAGGCTAGTGACAGGTGTTGCTGTGACCTGACTTGTGAAGTGGGTGACCTACATCACAGGGCATTATTCAGATTGTTCTGGGAACATATAAGCAATGGTGGGTTATTGGCAGCTTTTCCATTTAATCTCAACCTGCAAAAGGATTTTGAATTTCCTGGCCCAAGTTTTGTGTATTTTTTTTGTGCCTTCATTCCTGTCTCATTAAAATGTCATAACTTAGCAAACCATCACACAAGATAACTTGCAGTGCGCTTAGTTTCGAATCTACAATATTTATATTAGTGCAATCCTTAGAATTTACGGGAATCCACATGGTAGTCTTCCTTGACTCTTTTAGTACCCATAATGTATATCTACATTGTTGATGCCAGGGTCCCTCACATAGATCTACATCTTGAGCTTGCTCAGATAAGCTGAAAGCAGTAAATTTTGGCCTACATATGAAAGCATAGAGCTGTGTGATTGCACAGTATAAAGAAAAAATTAATCTCCCATGTGTTGCATGACGGGGAAACCAAAACTGACCTTGGATTTTTTTTGGTATCATTTGATAGTGTGGAAGACATACTGTACCGTTGAAAGATGTATATATTTGGCGAGTTCCAGGGCCAGAAGTAGCTTGGAGTCAGCCTCTAAAGTGGGAAAAATGTTCTGTTTTTTGCCGATTTATTTTTTTTTTCTGAGGAAGGTTCCTTCTTCCCCTACACCCCTTGGTTTATTTCATGGATTTTTACTAGGTCTGATTGTTATTGGAACCATAAACCATGTCCAATAATCCCTGGTTAATTTTATTATTGAAGTAATGGGGTAAAAAATTCTGGAAATTGTGTGCATGTACATCATTTTTTTTTTTTTTTTTTTTTTAATTTAGAATGTAACAGTGTGGTATTTCTTTTCTTAACCATGGAAGCTTTGTAGCTTGCTGTTGTAGGTTAAATCAAACTAATTCACTTTAATCTTAATTTTTTATGCTAAATTAACTGTCATTGGGTATATGTACATTTTGCTTTTCCCCTTTCTTCGCCTTTGTATAATTGACATTTATTCATTGTTTGGACAGATACCATATTTTTTGGCATGTCCTTTCATAAAACACCTCTTGCCAGTAACTCAGAGCATACACTTGACACTGACCTTGATCATACAAGGCACTGGGTGATTTTTCCAAGACAGGTAAAAAAGAAAAAAGTGCACCTTATCAACTGGAAAATGCTGTACTTATTGTGGGATCACTGATTCCCAAAACAGATTACATTACGATTACTCCAGATAATAGCTTTCACTGTGTATGGTTTTAAACTCCACAAAATTGCAATGTCATTTGTACGGGATAGAGGAACCCCCTGAATAATTTTAGTGCATAATCTCTGAGCTTTCCTAGTGGTTTTGTATATCCTTAAGATTTCTACACTACATTATAGGGAATCGGTAAGTCTGTAAGGTCATGCATTGCTTTTGAGAATTGGAAGGGTAGGGCTAGTCATATGAGATCTGAGGAAGAGAAGGGTAGGTAGCATCACATGTTGAATTTAGTGAAGACTAAATTATGGGGTAAAGCAGTGACTTAAAATCCCATAAAATGTAAAAGCTGAGCATTGGTGTTCTAGCCATCCCCTTTGAAAGGTATCACAAGATGGTTCTGTAGATTGAAGTTAGGGCTGACCAACGATCATTTACTTGTAAAGGGGGTTCTGTTCCTTATTGTACATTTAAATATATGGTGTGCAAAGTTAGGTCTTTTATGTGGTTTGTGAAGATTGAAAATTTAGGTAATTGTTTTAGTCTTTGTAATGTAACTGGGAGCTTATTGTTTTAAAAACTATACATTAGTGCTAAATGACTTACCGAGTCAATTTTTTTATGCACATTATTTTTCTCTTGCAGGCATGGTAGATTGTTTCGTCCGTATTCCTAAAGAACAAGGCGTCCTTGCATACTGGCGTGGTAACCTTGCCAACGTTATTCGTTATTTCCCCACTCAGGCGCTCAACTTCGCTTTCAAGGACAAGTATAAGCAGGTGGGTAATGTAGCGTTTAAATTTTTGACCAGCTACCATTGGCACATTTTCATTTACTTGTCAGTAAAACTGAATTAACAGTTGCAGTTGACTGTGTGCATTTTGTATATGTGCATGAAACCTTTTGCTAGCTTAGATTTGTTTGGTAGTGTTGCTGTAGAATGAGCCATGATTATGGAAATAAAAGCTATGGATGAAGTTATAATACACACAGTACAGTATTTAGAACCCGTTACCGTATTTTACAGCGAACAAGATGCTTTGATGTTGAGGATGTGCCCTTGCCCCCCAAGTCTGGTTAAAATTTTGAAAAAAAAAAAAAAAAAACTCCATGGTAATAACAGTAATAAAGCTAAGCCTGAGACACACGAAAACGTGTTGATATTTGTTCTGCGGTTATTTATCATTGATGCAGCTGACTGGCAGGTTTGTCAGTCAGCTCCACCAGCTAAAACTGGCTACATTTACGTGAAAGTGTTAAATGTGTCGGTATACGGGCGATTATTCTAGATATGCTAAATACCAATCCCGAGCTTAAAAGGTTCTTGCATCCAGAGCTGTCAACAAAATGTTCTTGGCCAAGTATTAGTCAGCTACTTGTAGTGAACAGTGTTCACCAGTGACCAAGACATTTTCCTCTGTTCTTACATCACTTAGGTTTTCAAATTAGTAAGTTTATTTAGGTACAGTTACACAAATTTTCATACATTGTAATGTGTGTAAATTACCTAGGATAACCCAAAAAAAAAGTTAGACAAGTGACTTATTTCCATTGAGGTCCTTTATTTCCATTAGGATCCTTGATTTTCATTGTCTGTGTACTCAATAGTTCTTCAGTTTTTGTGCTTGGCAGTATTTTTCTTTGTCACTCAATTTAGCAGCAATTGAACTTTTGCAGAACTATTACCCATATGAGTCATGTACAATATGTGAACTATACACGAATGGTGTACAGTACTGACAAGATGGAAAATTAGACATTTGTGTAACATCTGGGTATCTTTAGTGTAGAAGTTTGGCCATTCGTAGTTTTATCAATGAGGTAAATTGGAAGACGGTACAACTGTATACAAAAGATGAGGTAATCAGTCCCTCAGCCTTGGAATTGGTGAAGAGCACCATAGTTGTGAAGTCGAGAGAGCACAGACAAGAAGGCTGGCATTTATATATTGCAATAAAGATACCCAGATGTTGTGCGTGTCTTAATTTTCATCAGTATGTGAACTGGACTTGACTGGCGGTGTTCTTTCTACTCAGTCTTGATGTGGGCAAGTGGATGTGGCTACATGGGTTTTTTCATGCTTCTTGAAAATATTTTTTGTATTTAAATTTATTGGTTTTACTATTTAAGAATGTATATTTGTACTGCAACATGACCAAAACAAAACTACAGTGTGCAGATAGCAGCTTTTGTGTATGACTACCATATATATATACTGCAATTTTGCTTTAATTTTTTTTTATATCTGATAATGTTCCCTTAATATCAGGGTCGTTCGAGGTGAGTAGAAATATTACTGGGTGGTTTGATGGTAAACAGGTGAATTAGCCTATTGATAAGACTGTAGGTCTTTCTACAAATCTTCTGGTTTATCTTAGCCTACTGCTGATAAACACCAAAGAATTTATTTTTATTTATTCATTTTATACAAAATAGTTTATCAAAAACCTTCTGTAGGCTTTGGTTGAGACCACTGAGCAATGCAGGTGTGACATGGTCCTGCCTAGCATGGGCCAATAGTCCTGCTTCAGTGCTCCTTTTTTTATGTTCTTACCCAAGAGGCTGGGTAAATTTTTGAGACTTTGGGGATAAAATGTCTTTGCCATAAAATACAGCAAATGCTATTTTTTCCATTGTTTCCATTAAGAGGATGAACCAAATAATTAACCACATTTGCCATTTAATAGCTGTCTCTTCAGACTTTCAAACATCACAATTCAAATGAACTAAAGTACAACCCCTTTTCCCCATTTAGTGTACAGTAGGGCCCTGCTTTACGCTGTTTCGCCTTGTGGCATTCCTCTAATATGGACATTTCAAATCATGACCAAAACTCACTATATTGCCCCCCCCCCCACCTGACTTGTTAATATGGTCACTGCACCCCACCTGGTTTCTTTACATTCTCAGTGAGCTCCATATGTCTCCATGTCTGAAAACTTTCCAGAATTTCAAGCGTTTTAAAGTTATTTCATTTTGTATATACACTGAACTCTGGTAATTTATTTGTGTACCTGTCCTAAGTAAACTAAACCTGCTGGCGTGCGGTACATATAAAAATCACAATCTTGTCTCGAAGATCCCATATTAATAATGATAATACTCAAAAAATCACTCGAGCACATTAATGTTTTTCCCAGGGGAACCCTCGGCTTCGAACTTTCTGTTCCATACCTTTTTTCGTTCCTAATGTTCTGGCGGAGTCTTTTTCCTCTTTTAAATTAATGGAAAAGCCTTTAAATCCTTTCCCCCCGGCAAAAATTCGTGCCTCAACGGGAAGGATACACTTCATATACAGGGATCCCCCCCCCCCCCCCCGCCATTTCGAAAAAAACCGACATTTAAAAGCATTTTAACGCAAAAATTTCACCTCGACTTTTCAAAGGGAAAACCCGACATTGGATAGATTCGTATGAACGGTCCCACTTGTGGCCAAAAACTGCCCCGTGGTCCATGTTTACAAGCCAGCCAGTGTGCGCCATCTAAGGGACATTCGGTACATTCCGAATTATCACTTTTTTTTGGTGCTTTTTCTGCAAAAAAACAAACCCATGGGCCCCAAGAAAGCTTCTAGTCCAACCCTTCAAAAAAAAAAGGCACTAATGACTATTGAAATGAAGAAAGATAATTGCAAAGTATAAATGGAGTGCGTGTTCGGAGCGGGCCCGGTTGTATATAAATCCCAATCAACCATCTCACTATAGTGAGCAGGAAATGGGAATCAAGGGAAACTTTGCAAAAAGGGGCAACTTGTTTTCGAAAAAAAGATTTCTAGGGGAAAAATGTCGGAGACGTTATTGGGTGGATAAAGAAAAACAATAGCAGGAATAGCATCTCTGAAGCGATCATTTGTGAAAAGGGGGGCATTGCATGATGATTTGGGAAAGAAAATTTCCTGCAACTATGGGGATGGTGAATTCAACCACAAAAGGGGGGTTTGAAAGATTTAAGAATCTAGTGGCATACATTATACAGGGGAAGCGGGGGGCACGGCGCAACGTATCCTACCCCCTTCTTTTTCAAAAAAACTCGCTCAACAAAACTTGTGATGGCCAAGTGAAAGTTTTAAATACAGAACCACGTAGCCACAACAGACCCAAAAAACTAGAATGTAACCCAATCTTGACAAAATTAGAAATCTAAGGAAAACACCCGCAACCCAAACACTGCCTCCGCGCCAGACAATCCTTAACCCAAGCCCGGAAACAAACCTTCCCCCCATTGCTACACAGTATTACTTCAGGATACTAGAAAAAGGGTACGCAGAAGAAACAACACCATAAAAAAAAATAAAAGCAAGGACCCTAGAACTCAACTTTCACCCAGCGGGCGCTAGGTATCATCAACCCCCCCACCCCCCACCCAGGGAAAAACAACAACAAAAAGGCTGCTCCCCCCCCAACTCCATCCCTTTAAAAGGATTCACCCATGATAAAACAGGTAGATTTATTCCTGACAATACAAGGACTACAAACGTGCTCTAGAAAAAGAAAAACAAAGATATCAAACAAACACCGAGCGACAAATCCAAGACAACCAACCTCAAAAAAGATCAAAAACCCTTTAAAAAGAAAATTACATCGGGAAGTGTTGACACAGAAAATACTCTAAAAGCAGCTAAAAGCCATTCACACTAAAGCAAATAAAAAAACAAAAAAATATGAAGGTTGAAAAAGAAAATCAAGGCCCGGAAATTTCAAAACATGCACACTCGACTAATGAATACCTTGTTTTCCAAGACGAAAAAAACTGAACAAGAAAAATTTTGCCCCTGATGAGTAATAAAAAACAGCCCCACACTTTCCCTTTAGGGGACATAACACAAGCCCGTGCAAAAAAACTGTTTATCGGGAAAATACAGAACCACGTACAATCACCCCGGAAAAAACAATAAACCCAAAAAAAACACGTTTCCCAGGAAAACCGGGAAGTAAACAAAATAAAATGACCGACTTCGTTCATACGAAAAAAGAAAGGACCAAATTTAAAAATCAGCAATTAAAAATTAAAAATTTGGAGTGTACAAAAGAGTGTCTAAAAAAAAAACGCAAAACCTTTCTTTTCAGGCTGAGAAAATTTAAAAACAAAAAAACAAAATACATCATTGTTTCACGCAAAGAGGGAAAAATTACTAGAAAGGGAAAAACATAAAACAGGACAAAAATTTAATTCTATCTCAAACGAACAGGGTTTTTCCCCCTACCTTCCTTTTATAGCTGACATTTCTTTAACAGTTTAGATAAGTGCCCTTAAACAAATAGAGTGGGCTATAGTGTACGTTACAAATTATATTTTTACATTTTTTATTTTTTTTTTTCATAAACTAGCTAATAAAATACCCCCCCAATACCTATACTTCTTTTTTACGCTTTTTAATTCTCAAAATTTTTTAAAATTTACAAAGCAAATCTTACCCCAAAATTTAAATTTAAATTCATTATTTTTTACCTTCCATTTAATTTTTTTACACTACTTTTTTTTTTTAGCCTTTTTTTCATTTTTGAAAAGAAATTTAGGGGTATTTTCCCAAAACTTTTTTGCAAGTCCAAAAAACTATTTTTTTGGTTTAGCTATCCCAACAACCTCATTTTTTTTATTTTTAAATTGGGGCAATAAACTGTTTCAATTTTTTTTAATTTAAAAAATCAGATCTTACTAAAAAAACCCTTTTTAATTTTTTCATAGTGACCCCCTTTCCCCTTTTAACTTTTTTTAACCTTTACTTAATTTTATTTCCCTTTTAAAATATTTTCCCCTTTTTAAATTTTAGCTTATATAA